AATGGACGCACCAATAGAAATGATAATGAACAAAATATAAAGCTTATTACATTTGTATTTACATTTATTGACATTCCTAAGCTTTGTTCTGACTTCGAAAAAGGCCAAGTCGCCACTTTTTATGATCTTGGGTTATCGAATAGACCGATAGTTGATAAGATTAATCGAAGAAGTGAGTCATGTGTCCGCAAGTTAATCAAAAAGAGAAATCAAACTGGAACATATAATTGACGTAGCTGATCCGGCCGACCACTAAAAACTACCGACAGGGAAGACCGAAACTGGGTTCGTCAATACAAAAAAGATCGATTCGCAACAACACAACATGTTTCCAAAGCGGCTAGTTTGGCGGTTTCTTCAAGATGCAGCAAAAAGGCATTGTTTCCAAATGCATCAAAAAAAGAAACCATTCGTATCTGGAAAAAATCGACGGGCATGGTTGGCTTGGTGCAAAGTTCATTTACACTGGACTAAATCTGATTGTGACGATGTTATGTAGAATGACGAGAGCCCCTTTACTCTTAGATATGAAGGACGAATACGTGTTTGGCGTACGACTGTGAAACAAATATTCCAGTGACTATCAAGGGAACGATTAAACACGATAAAAAAAATCAACGTTTAGGGTGCATTCTAAGCAGCAGGAGTTGGTAATTTGTACAAAATCAACATTCAACGAATTCTGATACTCACTTGTCTTGGTAAAAATTAGGATCCTCCATTAGGTCACGTAAAAAAGCAGCATATCACGATTAAAAAAGGCTCAAATCAATAAAAACAAAGTTTTGTCTCAATATGTTGTTATTAATTGAAAGCTAAAGCATTAAATTTATTACCTACAGTAAGTAACATATTCTGGTGTCTTTCAGACAGAAATTATATAGATTGGAATGTCAAATATATGCTGGATTTTTGTTTAATTTTCTTAAAAGCGGCCATTTTCTTAAATTTTAAGAAATTTGTAAACAAACAAAATTTTGATTTTAAACTTCTTCCTAAAATGAATTTATATATTTTTGACGCGTTATTTGAGTAAAATTAGAAAATTTAAAGTTAAATTAATCTGATATGAAACAATATGTTGGCTGCTTCTCTTTTATTACAACAGCCTCCAGAATTTGCAGTCTTTCTTTTTGCACTTTGTCTTGTATAATATATATATATATATATATATATATATATATATATATATATATATATATATATATATATATATATAACCTTGAGCACTGTATTTATAACACTTATGGAAGGAATATATTTATACGTACTAACAATTTACTTGCGTGTATGTATATTTTTTATCCTGCACACACACACTCATATATATATATATATATATATATATATATATATGTATGTATGTGTGTGTGTGCGTGTGTATATATCTGTGCGAAAGATATATATATTAAACACGCTTCAATATACGGTCCCTATGGAGAAATATACTTTATTTAATGTTGCCTGCTTCTCTTTTATTACAACAGTCTCAAGAATTTGCAGTCTTTCTCTGCACTTTGTCTTGTATAATATATATATATATATATATATATATATATATATATATATATATATATATATATATATAGAATTTGTTGTCCCTTTTTTATATATCCTTGACATTGCGTCCTTTAACCCATAAATAAAGCATACCTTAAACCTCTCTATATATAATAAAAATATAAATTCAATGTATGCTATATTTATGGGTAAAGTGCTAAATGTTAGAGATATATCGTATGTAAATCTAAAGGTGGACATTGAGATGAACACACCACCAGAGAAAGTCTGTTTCACGCTAAATGTATATAAGAAAATTGAATTGTAATCTTAAGAATTTTATTCTATAAATTGACATTTTTCATTCTTATATGTATTTATTATTTTATTTATTCGTTTATTTATCTCTAAATTTTTTCTTTCTTAATTCTGATGTCAGAATGTTTGCTGAAATGAAAGTTTTCTGCGACCCAGATTACTATGGAAAAGGTTGTAATATTTATTGTCACGCAGGAATAGATGACAACTTTTCTTGTGATCTTGACACAGGCGCTAAAGTATGTCACGATGGTAAGTAAAGATACATATATATTTTTTTTTCTATTGTTTGATTTTTTTTTTGAAGAACAAAAAAAATCTCTTTTCGAACGGCTGACGAGATATCTCGCAAATACTTGCCCTGATAGAAAATCATGCAATTGCCTAATTGTCCTGAAAGATATTTTCCGATCATAAGACGCCATACACACAGACACACACACAGACACACACACACATATATATATATAATAGATGACCATTCGCATTCAAGGGTACCCCTTTACTAGGCCGACTAGCCAATCCCTATTGCAGACTCTCACTCAGGCACATTTTGTGTTTGTTCAACACCCACAGAGCCAACCTGTGGTTTATACTACAACTATACTGAGCAGACATTAGTTACAGTTTCTGGGAGAGAGCGTGTCATCTAGAATGATCAACGATCATAACAAGGCCAGCACACTCAAACCTTCGGTCACGACGACTTGTGACTTCATGCTTGCACAGCTATCGATGGACCCAAGTGTCCCATTTACCCAATTTCAGTCACAAGACTTGTGTCAACCCGTGGTATGGTTTTCAGGCACTTAAGGTGCCGCACGCTGGGATCGTCACCACTCCAGACGGATAACATATATATATATATGACATAAAGAACAAATAAGAAACGTTTATCAAGCTAACATGTTTCATGTAGGTAGAGAGCCATGATTGCTTCTCCATGGATCATTTTTGCGTGAACCATACCGTTGCCACTTTTACTACGAGTATAAAAACGCTAAAAGAGTAATAGTTTTGCTTCTTGTGTAAAAACCATAGAAAAACAAAAATCAATATACTTGCCACTTTTACTCCTAGTGTAAAAACACTAAAATAATAAAAAATAGTTTTGCTACTTGTGTAACAAAAAGAAATGTAAAATGAAGTAAAAGAAATGTAAAATGTTTGCCACTTTTACTACGAGTATAAAAACGCTAAAACAATAATAGTTTTGCTACTTGTGTAAAAAAGCAAGAAAAAATGTAAAATTCTTGCCACTTTTACTACGAGTGTAAAAAGGCTAAAACAATAATAGTTTTGCTACTTGTGTAAAAACGCTAGAAAAACAAAAGTAAAATGCTTGCCACTTTTACTACGAGTGTAAAAACGTTAAAAGAATAGTACATTTGCTTCTCGTGTAAAATCGCTAGAAAACATGTAATATGCTTGCCACATTCACTACCAATGTAGAAATGCAAAAAAAAAAAATGGATTTGTTACTCTCGCAAAAACGATAGAAAAACATTTAATAATATTGCTGCTTATACTACTAGTGTAAAAACTATAACAAAGACAGGCCCCAGACAGATCGATTTCAGATTTGAGAGTTGGCGGGATAAGTTTAGGTTTAATCTGTAGAACATAGAGTTCCGAGAATTTTTAAACAGCGGAGCACTTGATACGATTAACCAACATCCCAACTCATCACGCAGCCAGAGAGTTTGCAAATTCAAATCGCCTTGTGATTTTATTTTTTAAGTGCGATGTATACTGTTTGCTTGTTGCTGTAAATTGATAGCCTCTGTAAAGTAGCGATAAAAACTAACTAAAAAAATAACAGTAAACAAAGAGACAGAGAGTTTGACCAGCACAGCTGGAGACGAATCTCCACCTCTAGACTAGAAGGAAGCCCCCAAGTATATCCTGTGCGCACTATACTGATATAGTCAGTCCACATAGGCGATAGGGAGTGTGGGACATTCCATTACAACAATTTCTGTTAAAGGAAATTACAAAGAAAAAAAATGAAATTCTACGTGGCATCACTCCTCCTATATGGCAGTGAATACTGGAACGTTTCCTCAAATATGAAGAAAAGACTTGAAGCAACAGAAATGTGGTTCTACGGGAGGAGAAAAAGGATACCATGGGCCGAACATGCGAACAACGACGAAATTTGAAAGAAAATCGAAACAAAAAGGAAACATACTTTCCATCCCGAAGAGACAGCTGAAATTCCTGGGGCATATAATGAAGAAAGAGGGTTTGGGAAATCTGATACTCACAGGACAGACTGAGGACAAGAGTGACAGATGAAAACAGCGCATAACCTATTTGGTGAGCTTGCCTAAATGGATGGCTGAACAAGGTTAAGGGGATATAACAAAAAGACAAAATTTATTAAGAAATACAAAGAACAGGAAATTAGGGAGAACCATGATCGCCTACATCCTGAGGGGACACGACACATATAAGAAGAAGAATGGGCTTGAGTAAATGGATGGCGGAACAAGGTTTAGGGAACATAACAAAAAATTTATTAAGAACTACAAAGGACAGGAAATTGTGGAGAGCCACGATCGCCTACGTCCTGAGGGAAGACGGCACATAGATAAAGATGAATTGAGTTGAGTAAATGGAGTGTGGAACAAGGTTTAGGAGAAATAACCAAAAGAAAATTTATTAAGAACTACAAAGAACAAAAAATTCTGGAGAGCCATGATCGCCAATGTCCTGATGGGAAACGGTCCATAGAGAGAGAAATAGTAAGAGAGGCAATTTGACGATGGTTTTCTTTCCAGAATTGAAAAGAATACCTATTCTCTTTATTTTGATAAACGTCTCTCTATATATCAGATTTTAAAATCAACGACACACTTTAGAAACGGAAATAGTTCCATAACTCCATTCTTGGTTAATGTTACAAGCAATTTGAGAAGCATTGTGACAGTTTTTATTTGCGCAGTTAAATCATGCGCAGTTGTTTCAGTTTATCTTTTATTTCAATGTTCTGTAATATGTTGATTCAGTTATATTACGACTTGCTATTTTGTAAACGCGTTAACATATGAAATTGGTTAATTTTCTTCTGACTGCTTAAGAATTTACCAAACACATGAGTATTGAGTTCATATCACCTTTTGTACTGAACGTACAAAATAGTTTTTACATCATAATTTCTCCATTCCTTCTTCATAGAAAGAACATAAAGATTTTAACAATAAAATTCGCTTTTATACAGTTCATTTATCTTTTTCATGGAGTGTTGATTACGTGCATAAAACTTCAGGCTATGCCTGAAAATACCTTTATTCTTCTTCTATGTACCGTATCACTTCAGGACGTTTATGATCATGGCTATCCACAACTTCATATCTTTTGTAGCTCTTGGTAAGGTTTATCTTTTCGCTGTCCCACCCAACCATTGTTAGGCCATCCATTTATACACGTTTAATAGGAGTAGATAGGTTTGCTTACCGTCCGGTTTACACTCTTCACCAGTTTTTTTTTTTTTTTTTTGACAGGCGTAGAGGTTTATCCCTTGTTCCCTGATTGGATTTCAGCTTCCTTCTAAAATCTACTTCAACTCTGTACTTCTAACGTCTCTGGCTGAACTCTGAAATGTTATTCACTAATCAAATCTTGACCTCTTCATGCCTCGGGTTAAATGTTATCTTACCCGCATAGCCCCAAGGATCCCACTTCTTGCCCTTTACTTAAGTTAATACAACACCACACAATGACTCTCTACCTTGAGTGGCTCTAGGGCATTGTATTGGTTGGACATTAGTAAAAAATGAATAAAATATTATTAACAAATGTTTATCTATTTATTAATGTACTTTTGAAATAGACTAATCAGTTTAATCAATCTGGCATGAGACCATTATTTGTTAAGCGCTCAGCAAGATTTGAATTCACAAAGCTTACTAATAATAGTCCAATATAATTCTATAAAATCATGTATTATCGGGAAAAAAACATAAAGCCTAAAAATATATGTTTAATTACTTTCCCGATATGAGATTAACGATGGCGGAAAAAACTCAAAAATTCAAAGAGCAGACGATATTATTTCTATATTGAAATCGTCTGCAGGTGTACTATTTAATGAATTATTTTTAAAGATAAAATCCTTTGCTACTAAATATTTTTAAATAAATTTATTTTTTACTTTATTATATTTAATATTTATAGGTAACGATTTTACATACTATTATTTCGAGGAACATTTACAGTGTGCGATGGGTAAATTGTCGCAGTTAAATCATGCGCAGTTGTTTCAATTTATCTTTTATTTCAATGTCCTGTAATATGTTGATTCAATTATATTACGACTTGCTATTTTTAAACGCGTTAACAAAATCGATATTACCATTGTTTCTGACAGTGACAGTTTCAAGTCTGTGCCCATTTTCGTGATGAACTTAATATTTATTCACAATATTTACATCATTGTTGGCATTTCAGCGTTTCGGCCGTTGAGCCTTCCGGCATTCATCAGGAGTTTATCGACCTGGGTAGCCTACAGGAGATTCTGAACTGAGCTCTTTATTTAATCTATGGAGGTAGACTGTTCTCGATCCACTAACCTTACTAATAATAGTCCAATATAATTCGATAAAATCATGTATTATCGGGAAAAAACATAAAGCCTAAAAATATATGTTTAATTACTTTCCCGATATGAGATTGACCATGGAGGAAAAAAGTCAAAAATTCAAAGAGCAGACGTTATTATTTCTATATTGAAATCGTCTGCAGATTTATTTTTTAATAAATTATTTTTAAAGATAAAATCTTTTGCTACTAAATATTTTTAAATAAATTTATTTGTTACTTTATTATGTTTAATATTTATAGGTAACGATTTTACATACTATTATTTCGAGGAACATTTACAGTGTGCGATTGGTAAATTGTCGCCATTTTATATTTTTAATTTCACGCATGTTCGTTATGTTTTCGATTTTGTCGACTGTACAGTATAATAGGGTCACTTTGACACCGTCTGTGAAAAATAAAGAGCACTATGATGCAATTCATTCCGCCAGAAATTTGGAAACGGCATGACGTACTACATAGCATTCGCGCCGGAATCTCTAATCCGAGTGTTTGGGTGTCAAGCTGAAGACAGTGCAGAGGATTCAGAAAGAGTTGAATGAGTCAACTGGTGATTACGAATATACGGCAGCTCGAAAAAACCCACTCTGATCGTTCTGATAACAAAAAAAAAACCCCGAATTTGTTGGCGAGGGCCTCAAACTCAACACGGACGCCTATATCAAGTGCCTTGAGAAGGTAGTGCTACCCTGAGGCAAGAGGGTGGCTGCTGGAAGACCCTATTTCTGGCAACAGGACTCTGCACCATGCTACACAAGCAAGAGAACCTAGACATGGTTGTCATACTATTTCTGCGAGACACATCACCCCGTACATCTGGCCACCTAAACCCTCTTGATTATTATTTGTGGTGTACAGTTGAGCGATAGACCAAGAAAACTATTTGTAACACCAAAGATAAGCTGAATGCAAGAACTATAGCATTCATCAACTTAAACAAGGAGAGCGTCCAAAAGAGTTGCTGGAGATTCCGAAGTCGTCTGGAGGCGATTGCTGAAGTCAATGGCGATTTTATTGAATAAAAAGTAAAAACATATAGACTCAAATTTAAACGACAAATACTTACCTATCTCCTAACCATGTCGATGCTTATAGACTTAAATAAAACAATCAATATTTACGTATACCCAAACTAAATCAATGTTTAGAGACTCAAATTTAAATGACGAATATTTAGCCATTCCTGACCCGCGTCAATGCTTATTGACACAAATAAAACAATCAATATTTACCTATACCCAAACTAAATCAATGTTTAGAGACTCCAATTTAAACGACCAATATTTAGCCATCCCTGAACCACGTCAATCCTTATAGACTCAAATATAAACGACTAATTGTTATGAATAATCAAGAGTGGTCTCCCCTTGTTTTGTTACACTCCTCTTTGAGAGAGCTATTTCTATTTACTGGGAATATAAAAGGACACTATACGCGAACCGTGTATTCTCAGCAGAATAAAGCTTTTTTAAAGTCTACACCTGTGTACTTTTGTCATTACAAAAATATTTACCTATCCCCGAACCAAGTAAATAATTATGGAATCTAAGAGTCTATAAATTTACAAATCCATGTGCAGACTGACCTTAAAAATAAATAATTCAGCTAGGGTGAACGCCTCAAAATATCAGCGATGAGATCATGTCGCCAGTGACCAGAATCAAAATTCAAAAATGAATTCGTCATTATCATTTTTTTAAATTTTATTTTTAGGTTGGGTCGGCCCAAATTGCAATGTTAGTGGAGATGATTGCTTGCTCGTATTCTGCGAAAACAATGGTACCTGCGTCGACCAACACCTCGACTATACATGTCAGTGCGAGAGGGGCTATTCAGGTCAGTAGATCATTTATCTATTTCTCTATCAAGAATCATATGTATCGCTCATTAATTCCTTCAGTTTTAGTTATTTAAAGAAGGTAATGTCGGCATGGACATGCTTATTTACAAAAATCGGCACGTTTATACACACAAACACACAAATTCAAAATTCTTTTAAAATATTGGCGTTCGATGAATTCTACTAAGCTTTTCAATTTATTAGTAAATATAGTGTTTTTTACTTAATAACAATATCACCTGACGACGACTTTAGATTTTACGTACTCACCTCCACTGTTTGCTAAGAACTTAGCATACCATAATAAATAAATGTCCCAAACTAAATAAAAACAAAGTTTTATCTTGAAAATCTTTATGTTATTATTAAGAGAAAAAAACAGATGATGTTTTGATTATTAAATTATATTTTTCATTGTTTTTAGAACGTTCGAAATTTTGATTGAAATCTTTTTTTTTTTTTTTTGCGTCAGTCCAGTGGCCAAAGACTATAGAAAATTTTAGCGTTTTTTTTTTTAGATTAATTTGGAAATTCTTGCAAAAATTAAATAATTGTCGGATTTTAATGAAACGTTCAGGACTTATACGCAAATGAATGAAGTTATTTGATTTTTTTTTTCAATCTGTTAACTCCACTTATTTTTATGAAATTTCAAGAAATTACATTTTGTGTCACTTAGTTAAAAGCAGAACTTCTTTAGGAATTTAAATCATCAATCTTTTTTTTTCTTTTACTTTTTTCTTTTTTTTTTTTTTTTTTTTTTTTTTTTTTTTTTTTGTAAAACAAAAACACCAGTTACCGAATATCTGTTCTGAGCCATAAAATAAAGACTAAGAGAATATTTAATTAGAAAAGCTTTTAATTACTTTTATCGATAAGATATCTTATGGACACTATTAGCCTAAGAAAACAAAATTTTCGCTGAATAACGAATTTTTACAAAAATAGCTATAATTTTTAATTTTAATAATTTATAAACTTTTATTTTCTTTTTAATTTTTGCATTACTTTGTGTCGTTAGGTGATATTGTTATTAAGTAAAAAACACTATATTTGCTAATAAATTGAAAAGCTTAGTACAATTCATCGAACGCCAATATTTTTAAAGAATTTCGAATTTGTGTGTATAAACGTGCCGATTTTTGGAAATAAGCGTGTCGATGCTGACATTACCTTCTTTAAATAACTCATTTCAATCACTTTGATATTTAATTCCACCTTTTTTTTTTTTTTGTTATCGTTGTTGCTATTATTATAATTATTTTATTGTTATTGTTGCTGTTGTTATTGGCCTTACTTTTTATGATTATTTTTATTGTTGTTATTGTTATTGTTATTATTATTATTATTATTATTATTATTAAGAAGCAGACCCTATCAATCCTGGATAGAGCGATAACAGCTACAGATCACAAGAAACCTATTTGCCTGAAAAATTGTTTCAAGAGAAACATCTTTTATAAATTTGACCTGACAAAAGCACTGCCTGCTCGGTCAATGAATATATATCAAATGTTTCTTTATAAGGAAACGAACACTATTACAAATGTTGTTGCTGTTCTTTTTATTATGATTTTCAATATTACTGTTATTCTTGTTATTAATATCCTTATCGTTGTTATTATTCTTATCGTTGTGGCTATTGTTATTGATATAGTTTTTGTTATTATTGTTATTACTCATAGTATTACCGTTATTGTTGTTGTTATTGCTATTAATGTTGTAGTCGTTGTTGTTGACATTGACATTGTTGTTATTACTGTTATTGTTGTTGTCATTATTACTAATTTTGTTGTTTTATATTGTTATTAGTGTTATAGTTGTTATTGTTAGCATTATTGTTTTTTTTATGTCAAGTAATGGTAAACTATTTAATTTGGCCCGCATGAGGGCAAAGATCAAGGTGCATACGGTACCGATCAGAGAAATACTGTTTGTTGATGACGCAACTCTGACCAGGCAGACCGAACACGACCACCAACATCTGATTAATTAGTTCAACAATGACTGCAAGGAATTCGGTCTGACTGTTAACATAAAAAAAATAACAAATATCATAGGTCAAGGTGTTCAGGATCTCCATCAATCCGCATCGATGATGTGGTGCTTGAAGTCACAGATCACTTCAGATATCTAGGCTCTACCATCGCCAACAACCTATCGCTTGACATGTAAAATGAAGAACGCATCACCAAAGCGGCAACTGTGATGGTCACACTGAGCAAAAGGGTATGGGACAACAGTCATCTGACCTTGCGCTCTAAACTAAATGTATTCCAGGTATCTGTCTTTAGTATACTTCTTTACGGCAACGAAACCTGAACGACATACGTCAGACAGGAAAACCACCTGGAAAACTTCCATCTCTACGACGTATCCTCGGCATCACGTGGATAGATCAACTTACCAACGCTGCTCTGCTGGAGTAAGCAAATGCCATTCGATTTGTATATTTCGTGAGTCAGGTGAGAATTTCCATTTAAAGGTACTGCCGTCGCCTCTCTCTGTCTTTTCTACAAATACTTTCATGGTAATTGCTCCGATGAGCTGCTTTCACTGGTTCCCAGACTCCATGAATTCAAGCGCCCTACGAGGCTGGCATCCCGCTTTCACCCTTACACTGTAGAAACTTTTAAATGTAACCGTCTCTTCTACTCCAATAGCTTCATACCTCGCACATCTCGCCTGTGGAACACCCTTCCCAATTACTATTTCCCAACTATTCAAATGTAATGTCAATCGACATCTCCAGTTACCTTGATCTATCCACTATCCTTCTCCTCATCCTTTCTTCTATCACTCCTATCTGCTCTCGCTCGAAATCTTCTGCAACCCCCTGCATCCTAGTGGCTTCACGCCTTGCTCGGGGCGTAATGCTTCAAAAAACAAAACAAAACAAAAAAACTATTCAAATTTGCTTGATCATCGACGTATACTTACTATCTAAAGATTGTTGGCAACAGAAAGACAGAGAACGAAATCAAATACTCTACACTTTGAATCTTTATGGGATATTCTATAAAATGAAAATACGAAAGCAATGTACAGCTGTTGAAAACGCACAGCCTTTGTTAACAACAGAGTCGAAGTCCACGTGTTTACATATCTAGAACAAAGAAAAGACATTCTGAATCGTAAGAGAAGAATGCTTCTCTGTTAATGCCTGTGACCCTAAAGGAAGGCGAAAGAATCAATGTTTTTTCTTTCTTTTAGAAAACACTGATTTTTAAATTTACTAGTCGCCTGTTTCTGTTGTTTTCTACTATATATATATATATATATATATATATATATATATATATATATATATATATATATATATATATATATATATATACTCTCCTGTCGCATTCGACGTATGAGGGTCAGGCCGATAAGTCCCCAGGAAACCGACATCCCGACACCGGCACATGAGATTTGTTTATAGTGGTGAAGGCCTTGTGCAGGACCAGCCACACTAAAAGCCCCGAATTTAATTGGAAACGTGAATTATTATTTTAGCTGTGTCTTTAAAACCCAGTAATTTTAAAAGTTACTCCAAAATTCGCTTGAGGATGAAATGGAACTAATGTCTTTAATTTAATTACAAAATTAAATTCAGGGCTTTTAGCTTCCATTTTTGAAACATGGTTAAAACTGTGTAGCGAAAAAAAACGTATTTTAGATCAATTAATATATATATATATATATATATATATATATATATATATATATATATATATACCAGGTGTAACAGCAAAATTGTCGAAATCGTGTAACAACATAATTGTCCTTGCACAAAATTTTTAATATCTAAAATGAACTAAACTAATTGAGTTTTTTCCCATGTTTTCAGATAAGACGTTTAGCCATCTTGACACCATTTTTCCTAAGAATCACTGAAAAACCATTTGAGTTATTCAACTAGAAAGAAAACAGGTTAAAATCGATTTGTGTCAGTCACACTGTCTTCCTAACTGAGAAATGGTGACAGGAAAAAATCCTTCAGGCCTCCAGTAATGATACCAACATCTTTTCCTCTGTCAACTTCGTCTTCGATGGCTGGGTCACGTACATCAAACGAATGACGGCCGTATACCAAAAGACATCATATGCGGTTTAGCCACGAGACACCGTCCGGTAGGCCGCCTTGTACTATGTTTCAAGAACGTTTGCAAAAGTGACGTGAAACTCACAGGCATCGACTCTGGTAGCTAGGAACAGCGAGCAGACGATCCCAGCGAGAGTCAAGCAGAGCGGGAAAAAAATGAAACCAATTGTTGGAGATCAGAAGACACTTGTAATAGAGCAATCACAAATCTTCGTTCCACGTTCCAGCCTCGGCTGCCACGCCTGAAGAACAGAGTGTCATGTAAATATTAGTCAGGCCACTCCAAACGCTTCTCACGAAAAGGTTTGGTTTGGTTTGGTTTGATTTATTGCATATAACCCTCAATGGGTTGATATGCCGTAATTTAATGCCGACAAGATTCTTATTGCTAGTAATATTTTTGCAGAAAAATGCAGTTGGTAATACTTTTTCCAAAAAGTTATTGCCTGTATTAAAACTTATTTTACACGTTTTCACACCCTTTGGTGGGGGTTAACTATTTGCCCATAGTTTGGACTCTAACAGATGCTACCAACTCGGGTCAGGGTGGACCTGGGAACACCAGCAATTAAGAGGTGGTCCCACGCTCTTCAAAACCCCTGATCAGAGGCCTTGCTGTTGGACGTAGTTTATCGTCTTACCCACGGCGCGGATGTAGTTTAATATCATACCCAGGACGCTCTCAAAAAGGCTGAATTTTGACCAAACAAGGCACTACAATTGTACCATTATCTCGCGAGATAAATGGATGCCTACCACTGTTATTATTATTCCATTCTTGTTGTTGTATTTATTAGTGTTGCCGTTTAATTATTGTAATTATTGTTATTGTTATTACTGTTGTTTTTTTTATTATTGTTATTTCTGTAATAATTCTTATTGTTGTTACAACTATTGTAATTACTGTAGTCATTGTTGTTATTACCGCTTTTATTGTTATTCTTATTACTAATATTATTGTTTTTGTCATTATTGACATATGCTAGGCCATAACAATCTCCTAATCGTCCAAGCACAGAAATGAATACAATATGGGAACCAGTAATACGGAGTGCTAGAGAAAAGCAATGAATAACAACAAAATTGCAATATGAGCTCCGGTAAAAAAAATGATTACTGAGACCTTATAAGTCCCTAAAATTCTTACACTGATGGCCTAAAGAACACATGGCTCAATGGGTAAAAGCGTTGGTTGGATCCAGTAACTTGACCCAAATATTTGTGAGCGAGTTCAATACGACAGTGGTGAACCAAATCTTGGGGAGTTTAGTTAAGGGGATATAACTGCGACTTCCAGACAATCTACCCCGGTGGACGAAATAAATGTTTCAATTCGAAATTCTGATACCTGAAGAAACATTGTGAATATGAAATGAGGACAACAGTTCGAACAATGTAAATACGAGGGTCATTCAATAAATAAGGTGAATTTTTCGGTATAAGGACTTCTAATACAGATAGAAGCTTGCTTTTTTTTTTTTTTCAAAGTAGTCTCCCAGCACTGTCATACACTTTTCCCATCTGTGCACAAGCTTCCGTATTCCCTCAGCGTAAAAATCTTTGGACTGATGTCTCATCCAGTCGCTCACAACACTTTTGACTTCATCATCACTTTTAAACTTCGTGCCTCCCGTGAACGCTTTCATGGGACCAAACAGGTGAAAGTCTGAAGGACAAGGTCTGGGGTGTAAGGGGGGATGAGGGAGCAGTTCCTAGCCCAGCTCGTTGATGGTCTGCACCGTTTGAGCTGCTGTGTGAGGCCTTGCGTTGTCATGATGCAAGATGACTCCTTCTGACTGATGACCCCTGCGTTTGTTCTTTATGTCTTTCTTGACCTGCCTCAGCAGTAGTTCTGTCAGACTGAATGAGGTCATTGACTGATTCGATCACCTCAGGAGACCTCACTTCTGTAGGCCTCCCAGGCCTGTCTTCATCCTCAACACTGCTCCGTCCTTCTTTAAACAATTTAGCCCACTTGTAGACATTTTTTTGGCTGAAACATGTGGCACCGTAGACAGTTGACATTCTCCTATGAATTTCAACTGGTTTGCACCCTTCAGCAGCCAAAAACTTGATAACTGACCGCTGTTCAATCCTGGAGCATTGCTTCTTGGTCGGCCATCTTTGTTAATCGCCAAAACCCTCAAAGTTTTTGTTTTTTTTTTAATCTGCAAAAGAAATTAAATCCATGTGAAAAAAAGTAAAACAAAAAAAATTAAAAAAGTAAGCTACTATCTGTATTAGAAGTCCTTATACCGAAAAATTCACCTTATTTATTGAATGACCCCCGTAATTACAATACTTCATCTCAGAAATATTGTCGCTATTACCTTAGTTCTTATTATAAACATAATTCTTTTTTGTTATTGTGTTTATTGTTGATATTGTCATGCTTATTATTACAGGTCGGCATTGTGAAATGGAAATCGATGAATGTTTGTCTATGCCCTGTGCTAACAACGGAACATGTACAGACGGACTAGCCCGCTACTATTGCCAATGTCCAAATGGCTGGACGGGTCCGACGTGCCAGCGAAGTGTCAACGATTGCTCGGACGTCCCCTGCCATCACAACGCGACGTGCATCGATCTCCATCTTGGCTACGTTTGCAACTGCGCCGACGGATGGACAGGAGATGATTGCATGGTAAGAACTTCAGTCATTTACACTCTGCTCCGTAACGACTACCCACCCGCCAAGAAAATACAAGATGACATCATAGACAATTACTAGTGAAGATTCTCAAATATGTATGCCTTACTTATGCCCTTGTACCAGATTCAAATATAAACGACCAGTATTTACCCATCTCCGAAAAAAAAGTGTAATGATAAAAGTAAGCCGGTGTAAGCTTTAAGAAAGCTTTATTTAACTCAGAATACATGTTTCGCGTATAGTGTCCTTTTAAGGTCCCAGTAAAGAGAAATAGCAAAATAACGAAATAAAGGGAGACCGCTCTTAATTATTCATAATAATTAGTCGTTTATATTTTAGTCAATAAGCATTGACAAGGTTTGGGAATAGGTAAATATGCTTCGTTTATATTTGAGTCTGTAATTATTCGGTTCGGTTATAGGTAAATATTATTGTAATAACAAAAGTACACTGGTGTAGGCTTTAAGATATGGCAACAATATTCAATGCACGGACGAATGGTAAATTTATAAATGTGCAAGATGGATTCTGACGAGACAAATCTTCTGGCACGACACAGGGTAACAACTTACCTTGCCATAGACGTAGCAATTGGTTCGAAATAGTCTCTCCACTTCATACCAGTGGAAAAGGTGAGGCCAAGAAGTCGAAGTGTGTTGTTCCTCTGAGGGTTAGCATCAGCCATGTGATGGCAGACGGAAAAAGTTTTCTGTGGGCTTACACATGGTCAACGCTTCATCATTCCCTTCGTATCTATTTCGTAAGTTGGAATTTCTACTCAGAAAGCTTCTTCCCCAGAACTATCATTCGAGGGGATGCTTTCCGGATCATTGCAATCTTAACCTCTTCAAGTCTAGGGTCAACCGTTATCTATCCTACATATCTTTATTATACGCCTTTCTTATTTCTTCTCCTTTACGCCTTTCATGATCACGTATCCCTTTACCCCTTGCGGTCGTAGGGGCAGCATATCTAATGCAAATCTACCATCAGCGGTATTTCCTGGGCAAGATAGGGCCGTTCCTCTTCAGGCTGGTTTGAATTCAGAGTTGTCTTTCTCCTAGCCTAGTTGCCAACCAAAGCTGTATGACCCAATCTGTCCGGCTAGGTACCCATAACTGGGAGGATAAGAGATGGATTCATGCCTTTCCCGAGGTGGATTTGTTTTTGAAGTTACCGTCTTCTAGCCTATGATAGGCATGACCTACAAGGTAGTTTTCTTCTCCTAGACTGGTTGCCACCCAGGGCTATAGGTTCCAATGAAGGAAGAAAGTATTCCGTTATTCCTTAGGGTCATAGGGGCAACATATCTACTGCAAACGGAGCAGCAGCGGTGTTTTGGGGGCAAGACAGCTTTATAGAGCTAGTTCCTCTCCAGGCTGGTTTGAATTCAGAGTTTTCCTTCTCCTAGCCTGGTTGCCAACCAAAGCTGTATGACCCAGTCTGTCCGGCTAGGTACCCATAGATGGCGGGGGAAGATGGATCCATGCCTTTCCCAGGGTGGATTTGTTTTTGAAGTTACCGTCTCTTAGCCTTTGATAGGCAGGACCTACAATGCAATTTCCTTCTCCTAGAGTGGTTGCCACCCAAAGCTATAGGATCCAATGAAGGGAGAAGAGATGAATTCATATTAACGTGTAAGTGAATGTAATGAACTAAACCGAAATTCGAACTCGGCTCTCCGATTCCGTAATCTAAGCCACAAACCATCCACCCACCCATTTACGCCCATATAACAATATTATTCAGTAATCCTCTATATTTAGTGACTCTTGGGTTTTGTATTGGATGAACAGTAGTATAAAAAAGGACACATCGCACAGTGGATAAAGGTGTTAGTTAGATCCAGTCACAGGACCCAAATAGTGTGAGTTCAATACCTGGTTAAGGCAGTGGAGAACTTGCAGAGGAGAATTAACAAGAGATAACTGATAACTGACATCCATTAGACATAGCACGTGGTACTAGGACAGTCTACCCCAGCGAGCGAAATAAAGTGTTCAGTTCAACATTCTAACCACCTGAAGAAGCCCGGAGCGTACAACGGCCGAAACGTTGTGATAATTATGGCAACAAAGATGATGACGATAGTCCGAACAATGTAAATAGTGTACATAATACCTCATCTCAGAAATATAAACAGATAATTTTTCTCGTTGTAACCTATGGAAGGTTACTGAACAGAATAATTACACTAAGGTTGATAATGAACGATAATACTTAGGACAGGAACAACACATATAAGATTCGCCAGCAGCGCGTAGAAGAAATAGTCAACTGCTAGAAGTGAGTCAAGTGAATTCCACAATGAATCTCTAACTGCAGGATATCTACCAACGCGGTCAGATGTGTCACAAGACCGAATTTAACGTGGGGTATCCGAGCCCGTAGTCTCGGCTAAAATTTCCCCGTAGACGCTGTATAAAACGGAGTCGGGTAGCTGTTTCCCGAAACAAGACTGCACTTCGACAAAACCTCGTCTGAGGACCCTCTCTGCCCAGAAGGCAGAGAGTTTGATCAGCACAGCTGGAGACGAATCTCCAACTCTAGGATATCTACCAACCGCCCCACGCGGTCAGCTGTGGCACAAGGCTGAATTTAATGTGGGGTATCCGAGCCTGTAGTCTCGACCAAAAATTCCCCGTAGAACCTGTATAAAACGGGGTCGGGTAGCTGTTTCCTAAGACAAGACCCTGCCCTTCGACATAGCCTCGTCTAGGGATCCTCTCTGTCCGGAGGCGGAGAGTTTGACTATCACAGCTGCAGACGAATCTCCAACTCTAGACCAACATACAGTAATTACTATTGTATTTATATGAATGGGGACATACCCATTATCGTCCGTAGGCATGTTACAACTGTTGCGGTTTTTTGGGTATATATACTTATAACTAGTGAGCGAGTCAGAATGACTTATTTCCCTTTATAGTCGACCAATGGAAGGTTGTCCAATCAGAAGCCGCCCAACACTGTATTCGTCGTGTATAAAGGCGGCCATCTTGTTTCCTCCTACCGGAAGGACCAAAGGCGACCAGGAGAAGGATGAACTACACTCTGCTGTGATATCCACTGCGAACCTCCACTACGCTTTCCTACTGTCTCCGAAATATTCACTGCCAACCTCTAGATTCTATACTCGAGGACGACCGTCATGAAAATGTCTAACAACAACACTCTCAGAGGAAGAATTTAAGATAAAATTCCTTTTTTTAAAATCCTTTTCTTCTTGCTCCATTCGGTTTTACTCTTTTCTGCTTCTCATCTTTCAGCATCTGCCTGCCTTTTTAAAATATTTCTCAAGTTTCACGCCTCTGTTACACTGTCTTTTGGTCATAAACACAAAATGATTTATTTGGTTCCAGACCATATCTTTAAACACCGTCTGAAAGTGAATTAGGTGGAGACAAGAAAAATATTAGTTCTTAGACATTATTCCATAAAAATTCAAGAATAGTTTTCTTTTAACCAAAAACATGAATCTTTTAATTCACAAATTGCACAGGAGCCTTTCCCATGAAATAAGACGATTATATATATATATATATATATATATATATATATATATATATATATATATATATATATATATATATATATATATATATATAGTATAACCCATCTTTGACCGGATCTTTCATTAATGGGAATTTTTTCCGTTCATTTGGAGCAGTTTAAGTTTAAAGTCAGCCCACCCGAAAATCAATATTAGTAACAACAATTGGATGCAACTGAGGCACATCCCCAAATGGGGGGGGGTATTAATTTTAATAGGGGGTGGCCCTGAAAAGGGAACTGTATAACAATAAATAATATTATTGTAATAATTTAAACTATTTATTAAAGTTTTTTTTTAATGAAAAATATATATCAAAGAACAAATAGTAAAACGTTGCCAAGAGTTATAATGGAAAGGAAGTAGTGGAGAGCCATTGTCGCCAACAATTTGGACCCAAGACCGACACTCAAAAATTATCTATCAAACAAAAAATTCATCAAAATCGGATGAAAACTGGAAATGCATAAACATCCGATCACATACACACACACAGACACACACACACACACACACACACACACACACACACACACATACACAGAGATTTTGAGAATGATAGAAATAAGATATACAGTGGAACCTCGCTTCTCGAATTTAATTCGATGCTGAAGGCCGTTCGTAACCCGAAATGTTCGTAAACCGAAACTATTTTTTCCAATAGGAATCCATGTTGAGAAAAAAGTCACAGTACAATAAAATTGGAAAAGAAACTCGGTTCGGTAATGTTCGAAAACCGATTCTTTTGACATGTGATTCATTCAAGAACCGAGGTTGCTATATATATATATATATATATATATATATATATATATATATATATAGGGGGAATAGTAAGTATTTACAGGCGAATAACAGGCAATAATCGCTGGTCGTATCTATTCTCCTCTACGGGTGTGAGACTTCGACACTCCTGCTTGAGGCAGAAAAAAGATGCAGACGTTCGAGAACAAATGCTAGAGAAAGCTTCTGCATATCTCGTAGTGGGAGCACAAAACCAATGACTATGTAGGGAGCAAGGTCACAAGTCTCGTGGGAATCTCTTCTTGCCACTAGTAAGAGTCGGAAGATGTCATGCAACGTTACATGGCATAACAGCCTCTGCAAGAGCATCATAAAAGACCATGTTGAAGACGAACGCAAGCGGTGGACGACAACACAAAAGCTGGTCAGAGTACATCAAAGAGTGGACGGATATATGATAATGCCGAAACCCCTGAGAGCCGACAGATCATCCTGGAGGAGGTGTCTGTTTCTTTCTGCCCTTAGGTCCCCACTGATGATTGAAGCATTCAAGGGACCGATGATGATGAGGAAGATGATGAGTGCGCTCAGTATCGGAGATATAGAGTTTATTGACATACTATGGACAAAAGAATCAACACTGAATAGTGACTGTCAGTTTCAAGTTTCAATGCAATCTTCAGAACAACTTGCA